CTGTGGCTCAAGCGGTAGAGCGCTAGCCTTCAGCTGAAGAGCTGAGGGATAGCGCCCAGGCCCAAAGTTCAGGCCCCACAACTGGCAAAAAAAAAAAAAAGAATTTCAAAACAGGGTGTTCAACCTGCGTTACATTCATCGAGTTTTTTCAGTATAAGCCATGCCCTGTCCGGTACACTCAAGTGTATTAGAATAAATGACCACTGGACAGTCACCCCTGGATTCTGTATTGCATTACTGGGCAAGGCTGTCTTTGTGACTGGGAACAGCGAGAATCTTACTTTATTCAGGTCTTCATGGAGGCCGTCCATGAGGAAGAGGAGCAGCTCTTGTGAATCTTGCTGGCTGTACCCCGCAAACTGATCGTTAATCTTCCCAATGGTGACTTTGAAGTCTCTTGGGCTGATGTATCTGTACTGCCCTGTCCACAATGCCTTCATGATTATTCCAAATTCTTCTGCCACTTCGCCTTTGTGCCCCAACAGATTTGACCTGTGCAAACACACACAGCAATAAAGAAAAAGCTGAAAAGCAGTTGGTTGATGTCAACCTTACATTATTCACAGACTGTATTCCTACACTAAAATACTCACAGATTTATTACAGAGTCTTTGTTTATAGTCTTCAATGTGCTTTACTTTGGCCACAAGCCCTATTCCTCTGAACAGACTGCCCGTCTTCTACTACGAGAATTGTCTTTAAATTTTTTTAAATTGTCCTTTTAAATGTTCAGTGGTAATGGAATTAGAACTCAGGGCCTTGTGTTTACTACAGGCACCCTACACCACCTGGGCCATGCCACTAGCCTGCTGTTTTGCTGGAGGTGGAATCTTGTAGACTTGTCTGTCCAGACTGACTTCAAACGGCTCCTCTGGGTTTTAGCCTGAGGAGTTGGTGAGATGAGCCACTGGCACGTGGCTTTTCCACATTAGGGAAGTCGTCTAATTTCACTTCTCTGGATCCGAGTGCCAAAGTGCTAGCTATGGCATGAATGTGTCCCTTCTACATTCAGTGTCGCCTATTTGACAGCACTAAGAGTACGCACTAAGGAACTGGTGGCTCACACCAGTAATCCTGACTACTCAAGAGACTGAAATCTGAGGATCGTGATTTGAAGCCAGCCCAGACAGGAAAAGCTGTTAGATTCATCACCAATTATCAACCCCAAATCTGGAAGTAGAGCTATGGCTCAAAGTGGTAGAGTATTAGCCTTGAGCACAAAGCTCAAGGACAGTGCTCAGGCCCTGAGTTCAAGCCCCACAACAGGGAAAAAAAAAAAAAAATATGCCAAGAAGTGACTAGGCCACATGGCTGACCTCATGAATGAGGGAGGCGCCCTCAGGAAGGGCCTGAGGAGTCTGTCCTCTCGTGCCCTTCTCCGGCTGTATGAGGGTGGAGCAAGGCCCTGCCCAGACCTCGGCACCTTTACCTTGGGCTTCCTGTCTCCAGAACTATGAGAAAATGAAATGTCTGGTTTTTATCAATTAGTCTCAGGTACTTCGTCATATAACACAAAATGGACTGAAACAGTGAACATAGTGACATTATCCTTTTAACCACACACTGCAAAAGACATGTATTTACCTGTTGATATCATCCTGGTAACAGTTTCTGTTGAAATAATCAGCCAAGTGGGGGGCGTTACAGAGGCACTGCAGTATAGAGTTCATATAACAAGTGTTTCCTAAATTACGAAGTCCAGTAAGAGCTGGCCCAGATCCTCCAAACACAGGGTTGAGGTTCCGAATCTGAGAGGCAGAAAGCCTCGAGATCTCAGCTTTGGGGTAGCATGTTGGCCTAATAAAGAGAAGGTATGAGTCTTAAAAGTCTATAAAACTGAGCTCTGTACTACAAATGGCAGCAACCTCTAGCGGCTCTTCTGCAGGCACACTGACTCACCAGGGCAGGGCAGACATCGGGTAATGACGCTAGCCCTGGCTGCATTCTGTGGTCCTCCCTTGACAACACCTAAAGCCCCTGGTTCTAGAGGCGGCCTAAGAGTCTCTAGCTTTTCATGAAGTAGGAGTTTTCAAAGACCTCAAGGAAGTTGGCATTATTACATATTTGAATGTCGCCACCACCAAAAATACTCATCGCTGTGGCAGACCACATAGAAAAGGAAACACAGGTGATCTCGGTTCAAATGCCTGTTGTCTAAGCTGATCACTAAGCTTCAGATGGGCTGGTCCAATTTGAAGTAAAATTCAATTTCTAGGGGCTGGGGAGGTGGCTCAGTGGTAGAGCGCTTGCCTTGCATGCCTGGGGCCCTGAGTCGATTCCTCAGCAACCACATAAGCAAAAAGAAAAAAAGCCGGAAGTGGTGCTGTGGCTCAAGTGGTAGAACACTAGCCTTGAGCTGAAGAGCTGAAGGACAATGCCCAGGCCCAGAGTTCAGGCCCCATGACCGGACCCAAAAAAAGTAAAATTCAATTTCTAGATGCACCAAACACATTCCAAAACAGTGACCAGCCATGCTGAACAATAGCTCAGAGCGCCATGTGTCGGGCATAGAGCCATCTCCCAGAGCAGGCTGGGACACGGGGACCCAGAACTGCCCTGGCACTAGGACTTTCTTAATGGACAGATCTTTTTCACCTCTTGCTTCTAGCCCTCCAGGATATGGAGATCAGACCCAACTAGTTTCAAGTACTTTTCATGTGCTCTCTTCACTTTTGAATTCACATTAAAAATTATACTTGACAGTCTTGACAATACTGCTCAAATTAGTAATATAATAATGATTCAAAAGGAAATTAAAATCTCACCAGTCACTGCAATTTCTAACATCCATAGCTCTATGAACAGAATTTTGGTTCTTTCAAATACATGTCTACCTGGTAAGTTCTTAGGAAGAAATACCAACTATGTTGGAATGTGTTACTTTTTCAAGTCTAAAGACTAAGTCTAAAGACTACTTGGAAATGCCTATTAATGAAGTGCATAATAAATGGAAAAACCATAAATATTGCCATCTGTAGTGTAGACTTCTGTGATAGGCCATTTTTTTTCCCTTTTATTGGTCCCGAGGCTTGAACTCAGGGCCTGGGTGCAATCTCTGAGCCACAGTTCCATTTCCAGTTTTCTGGTGCTTAATTGGAGATAGAGTATCATGGAGTGTCCTGCTTGGGCTGGCTTTGAACCACGATCCTCAGAGATCTCAGCCTCTTGAGTAGCTAGGATTACAGGTGTGAGCCACCAGGGCCTGGTTTAGGCCAATATGTAAGGAAACAAGCCCTTTGATGAAATGGAAGCGTGTATGCAGCTAGTGCACATCTCCTGTGTACTTGAAACCACCTCCAGATGACTTACTATAGCTGACTCGAGCCTTAGCCTAGTAGTCTGCCAACCTATCAAGTCTGTTGAATCATCCCAAACAAAGTAGTTAAAAGCTGAGGATCTATCTCTAGGAGATGCTACTTTGAGAAATGTAAATAAACCTACTTAACAGAATGGCAGGAATGCAATCAAGGACACTAGTAATACATATTACTCTAATGCTACAGGAAAATTTTGCTCTTACATCCTTGGCACAAAATCCTCTGGTATACTGTTAGTCTCAGGGAGAAAAATCAAGGCCATTTTCTTATGTTTTTTCCTGTGGTACATCACAATGGTCACAATGACCCCCACAGGTTTTTTGGGGTTTTTTTGCCGGTCGTGGGGCCTGAACTCTGGGCCTAGGTGCTGTCCCTCAGCTTATCAGCTCAAGGTTAGTGTTCTACCACTTGAGCCACAGTACCACTTCTGGCTTTTCTGCTTATGCGGTGCTGGGGAATCGAACCCAGGGCCTCATGCAGGCAAGACAAGCACTCTACCACTGAGCCACCTTCCCAGTCCCCCACAGGGCTTTCTTATCTGCCCTGAACACAGTGGAGTTAGGCGAGGTCTTATACTCAGCATATTCCCATAGTTTTGGGGCTTTAGCAGAACTGACTTGTTTTCCCGATTCACTGCTGGGGTCACTGCTGGCTTCCTCTTCTCCTCCTCTTGAATGGCCTGGGTGATGTCCGGGGAGGAGTAGGAGCGCTTCAGCTTGGAGGGTTCCCGGTCGCGCTCGGCGGGGACCTGGGGCTTGGCTTTGTGCGTTGGGGGGGTGGAGGGAGGTGCAGAGGAAGGGGCCATCTCCGGTGGATACATGTGAACGGTGTTGGTAGGTGAGTGGTAGTAGCGGAAGGTCCCTGTGATTGGGTCGAGAAACTGAGACAAGAAGAAAAGACAGGTCAAACACCCAGAGGGCACTAGAGACGAACCTTCCAAAGTATTCGCCCAATTCACTGTGACACTGGGGAGGCTGGGAATTAGGACCCTGCACATGTCAGGCACGCAATTATGTGGAGACGAGAGAATCTGAGGAAAATGGTGATCGCTGTTGCCCTACACTTGCCGGGAACTGACAGCGGCAGGCTGCTGGCAGTGGAGAGCACACAGCTGCGGTGCTCGTGAGGAGCGGTGCTGTGCGCTCCAGCGTGAAGTGCTCTGGAGGATTCTGGCCTTACCTTGGCCCAGCCTGAAGGCAGCCCAGGCACGATCCTCCCCATTTCCTCGCTCCGCGCTCTTGTCAAGGGCTCACGCTGCGCCTAGTTTGGAAAGGGGGAGAAGGAAAAAAAAATCGATTCTTCCCCTCTATTAAAATTTCACATATACAAATATGTACCTACATTGAAGATTCAAAAAGCCTTCCCTTGCTGTCCTCCATACTACTCAAGAGGCACAAAGGGAAGAAATGTACCGAAAGGAGCACACAAGGAATCAATCTCAACTTTTCTCAACGTGGGACAGACAGAGCCCAAAGCCAGGCGTTTGTGTACTTAAGAGTAAATGAGTCTGCAGCATGAATGCTCTAGGTTCTCAGCCTGCCTCTAGCTCAGCGAGATGAAACTGGTCTTGGAGCTCCAGAAGTTAATGTACTTTCAGGTGAACAACCTCTATCCTCAGCTCAACTGTAAGCTGAGTACTATTATAAAGTTTGGAAAATATATGCATGTAGTAAGTACTTGGTGAATAATGTTTAAATTGTATCTTAAATCCAAGTGTTCGCAAGTTCTAATTCTCTTATACAGTTAGCTTTGGTATACAGGCTTAATTTCCCCACTTCTGGGTGTTTACAGGTAGTATATTGTTTTGTTTAGAGATGAGGTCTAGCTATATAGCCTAGTAGTCTTCAACTTACGTGTTCAAGTGATCTCCTGTGTTAGCTCTCTGAGTAGCAGGCCCACAGTCGGGTGTCCAGCTAGCAGGGGCTATTACTTTTCATACTAGAAATGTCCTAGATAAGCATAGTAGTAATATGAATTGGCAATTTCAGAAACATGCCTGAAGCATAAGAACTTGTGAATTCTGCTGTTTTTGAAAATGTATTTAGCCAGGCACTGGTGGGTCATACCTATAATCGTAGTTACTCAGGAGGATGAGATCTGAGGATCAAGACTGAAGCCAGCCTGGGCAGGAAAGCCTGCGTGGCTCCTATCTCCAATTAATCACCAAAAAAGCTGGAAGTAGAGCTGTGGCTCAAGGGCTAGAGTGCTGGCTTTGAGCAGTAAGAGGTCAGGGACAGGCTTTGGGTTCAAGCTCTAGGAATGGCACTAAAAAAAAGTATTTGGTGTTTAAAGTGAAAAGGCAGGACGGACTCATGGAGTAAGACAGAAAACAGAAGCTTCCTCTGCAACTAAGAACGAGAAGAATCAGGGTAACAATTGATAGACTACTTTCCAGGCGAAGGAGAGTGATGAACGTTCATCAGGATGTGGCAAAGCCTCAGTCCCTACTCTAGCCCCGGGGCAGGGGTGGCTGCCACCTGATTTCCTTGCCACAAGGTAATCAGACAACTGTGGTGACCACAGACTAGGTGGAAGTCCACACTGTAGGGTTCAGCTGTGACAAGGACTCTCTAGAGCAGACCAGCACTGGAGAAGAAATCTATTTTGCCATTCTCCACTTCCCAGAGCCATAGCTGGGCTCCAACATGAAGGCAGTTTGTCCGAAACTGAGCTACTCTGGGAACTTGGCAACAAGGAACAATTCTGGGAGCCTGAGCCCTGCCACTGTGCTGGGATTGTACAGTACAGTCAGGCGAAGCAGCCTGGGAGGGAGGGAGAGCGCAGTCGAGCAGTGAGCCTAGCCTCAGAAGATGGTGGCCCAGTCCAAGGCCAGGCCAGAAGACTGCTTGGCTTCTGGGGTACCTCCCGACTGTCAGGTGGAACACCATTGTAGGAGCCCTTTTCCTACCACAGGGTAATTTACTCCCGAGGGGACCACGGAGCTCTGGGGCAAGCAGTTCTGGGGCCCCTCAATTCTCTCTTTAGTGCAGATGTCAGTGCTATTTACCTCCACCCCTGCTCTGCCAGGCCCTGAGGGGATACTCTCAGGCGCCAACATTGAACACACAACACTGATTGACATGGGATTCATTGGCTTTTTTCTGGGGCTAGACTCCAGTTGCCTCCACCTTCCCAATCTCTATTGTGAGCCCTTGTACCCAGCTTGGCTGCTCTCTCTCTTTTGGTCGGTTGTGGGGCTTGAACTGTGGGTCTGGGCGCTGTCCGTCAGTTCTTTAGCTCAAGGCAAGCACTCTACCGCTTGAGCTACAGCGCTACTTCTGGTTTTCTAGTGGTTTATTAGAGATTGTGGTTTATTGCTTTAAACCACAATCCTTAGATCTCAGCCTCCTGAGTAGTTAGGATTACAGGCATAAATCACTGGTGCCCAGCTTTAGCTACTTTCTTATATACCCATAAAGAACATTGTAAGAAACCACAAAAACAATCTCATTCCCAACAGCCTCAAAAATAAGATGCCTCACACCTGTAATCCGAGCTACTCAGAAGGCTCAGGGTTCAGGGCCAGTTTGGGCACAGAAGTGAGTGAGACCCATCTCAATAGCAACAATGATCTATGCTAGCTACTCAGGAGGTACAAGGAGGAAGATAGAGGACCAAAGCAAACTTTCCACAGGCAAAAAGAAAACCTACGATACATTACCTGAAAAGCAACTAAAACAAAAATGCCAGGGGCATGGTGCTGGTAGCTCATTGTCAAGCAAGCACAAGATCCTGAGTTCAATCCCCAGTGCCACAAAAACAGAAATAGGAATCAACTTAAAGGCCTCTACAATGAAAAACATAAAACAGTAAAGAGAATGAAGAAGAATGTGGAAGGACCTCACATTTTCATGCGTCAGAAGTCGTATTGTGAAGTGGATATATTTCTAAGAATGATCTACAGATTTCAGCGCAATCTCCAGCTGCATCTCTGTAACATTCTTCATATAAATAGAGGAAAAAGGATCCTAAAATGTTTATGTTATGTCAGCACAGCACACCCAAAGAGCCAAGAAGCCCAAGGAAAAGAGCAGGCCAGGGGCTTCAATTACTCAGAGCGGCATGGCATCCCAGACACACAGCTGCCATTAGACACTTCAGAGAGCCGCTGCCTGTGTCCTTGTCTTCAAGTGTGTTACATTATGTCTTCTTCCAGTAGTTTCAGAGTTTCATGCCTTACATTGAGAAGAAAAAAGGGGAACTGTATTTCCTTCCAAGAGCTGTTTGGACATTCACAGCATCACTTACAACAAATGATCAATGCAGGCTACAGGCTGTGGACAGCCAATGAGAAACACATTTGCGCTTATCCCCTTGCGGAGGGGACAGGCTTCATATGGCCCTGGGGTGGACTGAACTGTCTCCAACCCTTCACGAAGGCCCGTATGATCCATTTCAAATCGACTTTTGTAAGGTTCTGAGACAGACATCTAGTGTCAGTCTTCTATAAGTGGCTGTCCACTTTGCAGCACCATTTGTTGAACAGGCTGTTCGTTCTCCAGTGTGTACTTTTGCTAAGAATCAGATGGCTGTAGGCTTATTTCTGGGTCCTCTTTTCCATTCGTCTATGTATTTTGGAGAGGTGGTTTTGGGGTTTGAACTCAGAGCAAGAAGGGAAATGTAGAAAGCAAAGGGTCACTGACACAATCCCGAAATGTAGTCAACTGGCTCCAAAGAAAGTGGTAAGAAAATGGGGGTGGAGGACAATCTATCCCTTCCAGCAACTAACTACTCAGAATGGCAGTCCATTTGTGGGGTGCCACAGTATCACCTCTACACACACACTCTGTCTCTGCTTGCTTCTGCTTACCTTGCCTGCACTGGCATCTCCCGATACAGCTAGAGGAGACACATCTCCTGTTGACTTCTTCTGCATTTCCGGAGTCGGACACCTTTTCTCTCCCTCCATAGGTATCTTGGCATCAGACATTTCGTGCTCACTTCTACTCTGTCTTTTTATTCCTGTTAGTTCTCTGCCCCTCTTCACTGAGGGCTCCTTGCCTTCTCTCCTGGCCTGCTCACCGTCTCTCCTCTCCTCTTCCTCCTTGGCTTTCGGCTCGCTTTCTGTGGTCTCATTTTCTCGAGCTTCTTGTTTCTGTCTGGCTTTCTGCTCTTGCTCTTCCCGCATCAGCTTCTCCTTCTGTTCCTCTTGCTGCCTTTCCCGAAGTTCTTTTTCCTGCTTGTTTTTCTCCATTAGAAGAGCAGTTTCTGCATGGATGCGGGCTTTCTCTTCATCTGTTAACATGGCGGTCACGGGGGGAAATGTGGGTTTGGTGGATCGATCGGGAAGAACTTTTCCATTCTGAGGAGACAGCTCAGGACCTGTACTTTCAGGTTTTATTCTATGATCTTCAGGCAACTTCACTGTGGGTTTTTTAGTACGATCAATCTAAAGAAACAGAACGAGCAAAACATGCTGTTTGTTTTTGTTTTTATTGCTTTGTGTTGTTTCGGCTGGCCTCATCCACCAAGTGGCAAAACATGACCAGATTCAGAACTATAACCTCAGTTTACATTTTCAATTCATGCTAGAACAAAAAGCCCAGACATGGCACAGTGAATTCCTCTTGGACCATTAGCTTCATGTGAGGGTCACACATAGATCTCAAAACTGTAATCTCCTCCCACAAACATGCTTATTATTATGATCATTATTCGCCAGTCCTGGGGCTTGAACTCAGGGCCTTGCACTGTCCCTGAGCTTCTTTTGCTCAAGGCTAACATTCTACCACTTGAGCCACAGTGCTACTTTTGGCTTTTTCTGTTTATGTGGTTCTGAGTTGTTTCCAGGGCTTCATGTGTGGTAGGCAAGCACTCTACCACTAAGCCACGGTCCCAGCCCCTCATTATTATGTGTGTGTGTGTTTGTATGCTGGAACTGGAGCCTGAACTCAGAGCCTTGCCCTCTTGCTTACTAGCTTCTTCACTGAAGGCTGACATATTGCTACTTGAACCACATCTCTACTTCTGGCTAACAGTCTCTCAGACTTTTATGCCTGAACTTTGAATTTAAGATCTTCAGGTTTCAGCCCTCCGAGTAGCTGGGGTTATAGGTGTGAGCCACTAGTGCCTGGCTACAGTCCTGACCTTCTAAATGCAACCACTCTCCAATTTTCGCTACACAAACTAAACCCAGAAGAGTTTTGTGAATGTTCCTCCCAAACCCTTCTGCAGCCTGACCATCTTCCTCCACACAGCTATACCTCTATCTGTGCTCCCACCTGCCAATCTGCCAATCAACCCCCTTCCCCCCAGACTACAAAACAGCCTCCACTTCTCCATCCTGCAACCAGAGCGATCATTTTAAAACATTATAGGTGTGAACCACCAATATCTGGCTTGTTTTCTATTTTGAGACAGTGTCTTGCACTGTAGCATAGGCTGGACTCCTGACTCTACCTCCTGAATTCTGGGATTACAGGTGCACACTATCATACCCGATTAAGTTTTCTATTCAGAGCCTGCCCTACAAATCAATATCCACTTCTAATGAAAAATACTATTTAAACGTATCTTGGAAAAGAATGAGAAATGAATGCTTAAAAAATCTTACTGGAGAATATATAGGAAAGGGAAATTAATCTTTCTTCAAAAGTAATCTAATGAGAAAAAGCTGTAATTTCTTAACGTTATTACTTAAAAACCTTAAATTCTTAAAATGTCAAAATCAACTAAAACAAATCATTTGAAAACTAAAATATCTTTCATATAAAACCCAAACTATCTGAGAAAGTGGTCAGCCCTCCAAATCCAGGGTTCCACACTGAAAATGCTTTACATGGCGTATACATTGTCAGAGGCCTCTTCTTCTCTCAGCAACATAGCATGGCAACTATTGAATAGCACTTACACCACATTACCAACTACCTGAAGATGATTTAAAGCCTAGGGAGGAGGTGGATAAATTCTAGGACCTGAGCATCTGCTAATTTTGTCATCCTCGGGACGTCTGGACCAGTCCCCAGCAGCTACTGGGGACAATTCTACTACTTGTCAAAGTACAAGAAAGACTCCACAGAGGTGTTCCAGTCCACTGTGGAAACACAAATGTTATTGGCACTGTTTGTGGGAAATGGTTAGCAGCCCTGTTTGAAATGTTCACCACTGTCTAGTCTAATGTAGCTGTAGCCCCGGGGATGGACTATAATATAACTTTGTTGTGAAAATAAAGATGACAAGACGCTTGTCTTATATAAACAACTTCATTTCTATACTATATACTTAAGGACATCCAAACAGTACCTGTGGAATGTTCTTGATAATGGGCCCTGGCTGAATGAGAGGTGAAACATCCGCTTTGGAAGCAGCGACTGGTTTGGCGGGCGCTCTCCTCCTCTCCTCAGGGACAGTTATCAAGGTGACCTTGTCATTTACTTCCACAGGAGGAGCAACCTGGCCAGGAGGTCTGGAGGGAGCCGGTTCTTCCAGTGAGGGGTAAGTAAAATCCACTAAAATTCCCAAAGAGAATAACATTTGTTTTTTAAAGAACAGTAACTTCCATAAATAGTACTTATATTTTTCATGCATGTTACATGGGATAGTTAAACGTAAACTAAATGAAATAAAAATCATTAACAACCTTAAAGAAAACACAGACTTCTGGAATGTCTGTTTTTCGTATATGCTGGGCATGGGGACTGAACTCAAGGGCCCTGGGTGCTGTCCCTGAGCATACGTGCTCAAGGCTCGTGTTCTACCTCTTGAGCTACAGCTCCACCTCTTGCTTTTTGGTAGTTAACTGGAGATAAGAGCATCACTGGCTGGGCGCAGGTAGCTCATACTTGTAATCCTAGCTACTCAAGATCTGAGGATCATGGTTCAAAACCAGCCCAGGTAGGGAACTCCACCAGACTCTTATCTCCAGTTAACCAACAGAAAACTGGAAGTGAAGCTGTGGCACAAAAAGTGGTAGATCACTAGCCTTGAGTGAAAAAGCTCAGGGATAGTACTCAGGCCCTGAGATCAAGCCCGACAACAGAGGAAGACTGGTGGGTGGGGAAGAGTCTCATAGACTTTCCTGCCAGAGCTGCCTTGGAACTGTTATCCTCAGATCTCAGCATCCTGAAAAGCTAGGATTACAGATGTGAGCTATTTGGTTTTTGTTTTGTTTTGTTTTATTGCCTGAAAGCAAATGGCAGCAGAACAAACACTGACATATACGATTAAGAATATAGCCATGGGGGCTGGGAAGGTGGCTCAGTGGTAGAGTGCTTGCCTTGCATGCATGAGGCCCTGGGTTCGATTCCTCAGCACCACATAAGCAGAAAAAAAAAAGCC